GCCATCCAATACCATCAACGTCATCTAAAATTTGCTAAAGAAGTGGAAGACAAATCCGGAGAAGGAAAAAGTTATTGCAATCTCGGCAACGCTTATGACAGTCTAGGACAGTTCAAAACAGCCATCCAGTACCATCAACGTCATCTAGAAATTGCTAAAGAAATGGGAGACAAGGCCGGAGAGGGAAAAAGTTATTGCAATCTCGGCAACGCTTATTGTAGTCGAGGACAGTTTAAAACAGCCATCCAATACCATCAACGTCATCTAGAAATTGCTAAACAAGTGGGAGACAAGGCCGGCGAGGGAAAAAGTCATTGCAGTCTCGGCAACGCTTATCAAGGTCTAGGACTGTTCAAAAGAGCCATCCTGTACCATCAGCGTCATCTAGAAATTACTAAACAAGTGGGAGACAATGCCGGTGAGGGAAAAAGTTATGCCAATCTTGGCAACGCTTATCAAGGTCTAGGACAGTTCAAAACAGCCATCCAGTACCATCAACGTCATCTAGAAATTGCAAAAGAAGTGGGAGACAAGGCAGGAGAGGGAAAAAGCTATGGCAATCTCGGCAACGCTTATGACAGTCTACGACAGTTCAAAACAGCCATCCAGTACCATCAACGTCATCTAGAAATTGCTAAAGAGGTGGGAGACAAGGCCGGAGAGGGAAAAAGTTATGGCAATCTCGGCAACGCTTATCAAGGTCTAGGACAGTTCAAAACAGCCATCAAGTACCATCAACATCATCTAGAAATTGCTAAAGAGGTGGGAGACAAGGCCGGAGAGGGTAAAAGTTATGGCAATCTCGGCAACGCTTATGACAGTCTAGGACAGTTCAAAACAGCCATCCAGTGCCATCAACGTCATCTGGAAATTGCTAAAGAGGTGGGAGTCAAGGCCGGAGAGGGAAAAAGTTATGGCAGCCTTGGCAACGCTTATCAAAGTCTAGGACAGTTCAAAGCAGCCATCCAGTACCATCAACGTCATCTAGAAATTGCTAAAGAGGAGGGAGACAAGGCCGGAGAGGGAAAGAGTTATGACAGCCTCGGCAACGCTTATCACAGTCTAGGACAGTTTAAAACAGCCACCCAGTACCATCAACGTCATCTAGAAATTGCTAAAGAGGTTGGAGACAAGACTGGAGAGGGAAGAAGTTATTGCAATCTCGGCAACGCTTATCACAGTCTAGGACAGTTTAAAACAGCCATCCACTACCATCAACGTCATCTAAAAATTGCTAAAGAAGTGGGAGACAAGGCCGGAGAGGGAAAAAGTTATGACAATCTTGGCAACGCCTATCGCAGTCTAGGACAGTTCAAAACAGCCATCCAATACCATCAACGTCATCTAGAAAT